TTTTTTTTTTTTTTTTTTTTTTTTTTTTCTTTTTGGTTATGTTATTTACTTTTCTTATAATCACAATATCTATACTTTATTTCATAACAATTTTTAATATATACTTTATTTCCCAAAAACAATATCTATGACTTTGTCTTAGTTTTCTATACTTTATTAATAAAATGTTTACTTTAATAACTTTATTTTAACTAAGACAAAATAACAATTGTTATCTATGACTAAGACAAAATAACAATTGTTTTAAATGGTTTGAGGAGAATGAAAATATCTAACTTTTTTTTTTAAATGGGTTCTTTCCCAAATCAAGATAACTTAATAAATTGACTAGTTAGATTTAGATTTTGAACGTGTTGTGAAATGACAAATTGATTCTTTTCCAAGTTTTGATATTGAAAGAGGAAAAAAAAAAAAAAAGAGAAATTGGAGAAGTTTTAGAGATGGAGAATGAAATTAATGAAGTATTAAGAATGAAAAAAAATGAAGAATGAGAATGTTTATCTACACCTTATCTCTCCCTTCCATTTCTTCTCTCCTATGGTATCATTAATAATAATAATAATAATAATAAAAGAAATAGATAATTTTGGAGCGAGTTAGAAAAATACTACTCAACGTTTCAATGATTTTTCATATACTTATTTTTAATTAAAGTTATCAAAATAAACTAAATAGTTATGATAAATAAAAGCAATACTTTTTCTAATATAGGTATGAATATAAGGATTTGAACGTCGGACCTCAAAAGAAAAAGTATGTCAATTATCGTAGAATTATACTCGTAAGTAATAAGAAGTCTAAATAAGAAAAGGTTCATAATGAGTAAAGATAAGATAAAGCAATAAGAAGTCTAAGTAAGGAAAGGTTCACAATAAATAAAGATAAGACAAGACAATAAGAAATTTAAAGTAAAGAACTTTACAATGAATAAAGATAAAACGATATAAGTAATTTACCGAGAGTAAAGATAACACTACAAGAGTATAAACATATATGTTTAGGAACTAGACAAGTAAATATAGGTTAAAAGTAGAAGCAAAGAAGCTTTTCACAATTTAGGTTAAATAAAAGTTTGGGTAAAAGCGCGGAGCAGAAGGTGTTGAAGCCACGAAATTCATGCAATCTGAACCCGAGAGACAACCACAATCAACATGATGATCAAGGACAGAACAAATGAAGATTGGATTTTTTCATCTATCTCCTCTCTTTTCTCTGCCTTAAGTTTCTCTTTCCCAGGAAAAAGAAATGCATTGTTCAACAGGACCACAAAGTTTTGTATTAGCTCCCAGATTTTTGTTAGTGACATCTGCAAAATCCAGCTTAGAATGACACTACCAATGTCAGCTCCCCGTTTGGAGCTCCCAAGGTTTCCATTTCCACCTTCTGACATAAGAGAACAACAATAATAACAATAAGGAAGGCAATCCATGTCTTGAGGCAAAAGGGAGACAGAAAGGTGTCCAAGCCCACTGTTAACCGATATTGTCCTCTTTGAGCTTTCCCTTCCGAACTACCCCTCAAGATTTTAAAACGCGTCTTGCTAGGAAGAGGTTTCTACACTCTTATATAAAGAATACTTTGTTACAAATAGTATTACAATCAGACGTCAAGCGATGTGCCATCAAGGATGCTGGTCCCCAAGGGAGGTGGATTGTGAGATCCCACATCAGTTGAGAGGAGAATGAAGCATTATTTTTAAGGGTGGGAAAACCTCTCCCAAGCAGACGCATTTTAAAAATCTTGAGGGAAGTCTGGAAGGGAAAACCCAAAAAGGACAACATCTACTAGCAGTGGACTTGGGCTATTACAGACTGGCTAGACTATATTACAATTTCGTTATCTCAATAACACATAGTAACTAAATTTGTCAGACTACATTACAAACCTGAAGAAGGTAGCTCCTGGAGCTTCTCCACAATTCCATTGTTTTTAATAGCATCCCAAACATTTTTGTCCAAACACAATGAAACTACCAGACCCTGAATGAAACGGCGATCCTTGAAAAAAAGAACTCCCAAGAAAAAACATACAACAAAGAAAGATGATTGGGTTATATCCATTTATTTCAATAATATTTAAATTGTTCTGCTGGTCTTCTTGCCTTGAATGTATAAATACAGCTAAAATGTTGTGAAGGAGATCCAAATATGTCCTTACAGCTCAGTTGGTAGGTTTTACGCCGAAAATCAGGAGAAATTTGAACCCTTACTTCTGTTTTGTGATTATATAGCAAGTGATTTTGGAAACTTTCACGTTTTTTTGGATATTGATCAGCACAATGAAGAACAATATGATTCAAATGCCGAGTGGCCAAGGACTGAAAGGAAAAGCTACAATTATTGGGACGAATGCAGTCAAAACATGTTTGACAGTTTGGTTAGAAAGAAATAATAGGAATCATAATGAAAAGTTCAGAGATTAGAGAAAGTTCATGGACTTGGCCAAGTTTCATTGTTTGTGTTGATGTTTGTTTCTAAGTTATTCTATAACTCTTGACTATTTTGTTGAACTTTTGGGTTGCTTTTGAGATGTATCAAAATTTTGTTTATTAGATGCTATTTATGTTGTAAGCTTTCATTGTCAAAGGAAGTTTTGTTTCTGTGACCAAAAAAGATGAATAAAAGAACTTGTTGAGATAAACAAATAGTCATTATTAAAGAGGCAAGGCATCCCTGATTTGTACCTTCAAAGTAGGATCTGTTAGCAGCCATTGAAAACCTTTGCAAAGTAATTGATAGCCACGAGAATGCAAAATGCTTGAATCGTAGGAGTTCACCAGCGGCTGAAGCCATTTTGACAGCGATTCAGTTGAAAAATATTCCTGCAGCAAACTGATAAAGATTGCAACTCCATAACAACTTTTTATCGTGCCCATAATTTCTTATGAACAAATTTAATCAAGAAATTCTAAATTCAAGAATGAGGTAAAAATGGTAAACTGAAAGCTTCATATAACATCAAAAGGAAAAACAGTCTTGTGGGTGCGCTTTACTAGGGTGTTACTTTGAGTAACTTGGCAAGAAGGGAATCAAAGAATTTTCAAATATAAGTAACTCACTTTTGATTGGTTTTTTTGGTTGGGAAGGAGAACGAAACACCCTTTATGAGAGTGTGGAAACCTTCTCTTAACATACACGTTTTAAAGCCTTGAGGGTAAGCCCGAAAGGAAAAGCCCAAAGAGAACAATATCTGCTAGTGGTGAGCTTGGACCGTTACACAATTAGTGAATGTTCTCTCCCTTCGTTTATATAGTTTCTCATCTCTTTTATCCAAATTGAGAGATACTCATTTTACCCAATTGTAGAGTCTTTTTGTAACTCTTTGCAGTGGGGTTCTTTACCATCAATGAAATTGTTTCATAAAAGACTTTGCAAGCACATGAAAGACAGAGATATTGTCTTTTAGGCTTCCCTTCAAGATTTTTAAAACGCGCTGCTAGAGAGAGGTTTCCACACCCTTATAAAAAATGTTTTGTTCTCCTCCTCAACCGATGTGGGACCTCACAATCCACCTCCTTCAGGGCCCAGCGACCCCAACTGACTTGTTGGTTTCAAGAAGCATGGCACAGCCAGAAAGGGAGGAAGAAGGGTGTAATTTGCCCATTAGACTGATTTCAAATGAGCTTCATAAGAAAACCCCTTGATGTCTCCAAAGTTCGGGCTGTGGGGTTGGCATATGTGTGTGTGTGTGTGTGTATATATAAGAGTTGTAAAATTTTGGCTATCCCTAAAGCAAGAAAACATCAGGCTCTGCCTCTGTCAAAGGGAATATGAAGAGGAGTAACTAATTTGGAATCTTCCATCTTGCTTTTGATTAACTGAGGGATACAAATTGGCAGAGGAAAATTGAAGGAGCTTTATGCATCCATGTGTGTGCGAATATATCAAGAAATCAACGATTCTAGTCCAGATTTCATCTCTTCCTATAATATACACCAAATCCACAAGAAAAAAAGCCCTACACAATTCACACAACAGAAACCAAAAATACAAAATCAAGTGTTACGGAAACTCACCTCTGAAGCGCAGTAACTGCAGCATCGACTTCGGCACGCGATGGAACAGGTCCTAAATCAAATTTGTGAAGAGATTTCCCAGCTTTGGTATCTAAACTCTGGATTTCTCTTCCACAGAAGAAGCTCTTGCAAGTGTCGCAACCGCAGTTGTTGCAGGTGGATGAAACTACAGGACGCGATTTGAAAGCCATCGAAGAAGAAGACGAAGAAGAAGAAGAAGAAGACGAAGAAGAAGAAGTGTAAATGCTTGATAAGCCATCTGAATTCTAGTGGAAGGGGAATTTATCCGTACGTGAAGCTTCATTTTCAATCTTCTTCTTACGCAAATGAAACTTCGATCCATAGGTTGATATTTTTCACGGAAATTCCTTATTATATGCCCAAAATATACTTGGAAGGGAAGGGAGTCCACTCAGCTGTCGAGATTCATTTTACTCTCAACCGAGAGTGGTTAGATTATATTCTCCATCTCTATCTCATTTAATATAAATTATATTTTTATATTGATAAATAAATAAAAAAAAAAGTCATCTTGACCTTAATTGCTCTAAAAAAACGTAAAAAATAGCTCCATAATGGTCGAAGACATTAGGCGTAAGTTTTGGAATTCTGAATAACTCAAATCTAAGCCAAACATGGCACCTAAGTCGAGTCGGAGCTGCTGGAGTGCACCTAACTAACCTGAAGTTGAGTTGAGTTGAAGATTGTGGGCATGCGTGGGTCAAATTTGAAGAATAGATACCTATACATGGTGGTAATTGTGAGAAAAGAAAAGAAATGTCAAACCCTTTTATTTCAAATCTGTCTCGGGATAGAATAAGTGTAGAATGGTTTATCGTTTGTGTGCTCGAGAGGAAGTTGGAAGCAAGAATCTGCCAAAGAACGCCTTGAAAATTACCATAGGAGTTCGTTTCCGACCAAAATCTAAACGCAAGAGTCCTTTCTTAGAAAGAAGAAGATCAGAGAGACGTCTCATCCTTTTTCTAAGAATTGAGGATTAAACAAAAGTGTCTGACAAGTGTACTGACTTCCAATGCTCTTAACTCAATCTGTGGTTGATGATTAAATTCGAGAAAAAAAAATTAGGACGTAGTTGGGACTATGATGTGTAAGGTTGTAAGAGAAAACGTCTTGATTCGAGTTCTAAATCGAAAAATACAAAAAAAAAAAAAAAAAAAAAACAA